AAAAAGTATCAAAAAAACGAACGAACAAACGAACGAAAAGCAAGAATAAAAGTTGAACGGTTTCAACGAAATACATTTCAATCAGGCTCAAGATTGTGTGTCTGGCCCATTGCAAAATTAACATAATCTTCTGGATAATTTCGAGAAAATCATTCATTTATTCAGCCGAATATCCCACCCAAAAACTTCCGAGAATCTGAAAATCGCTTCGTCGGTTTACGCTTTTCAATGAATTGTTTAGCCCAAAAGTTATTGGAAAATGAGCGTGCAATGATGAATTTAGTTAGCAATTACTTGGCAAAATCGAAGTTCTCATTCACTCTCTCCTCTCTTTATTATTCGATTCCATTAAAACAGGTTACTCAATATAATGCAAAATATTGCACGGTCCACAGAATCGAATGAATATTAAATAGATAGAGAGCCATATGTCGCAATCACAATTCATTGCAAACAGACAGCAGCAGCAGCAGCAGCAGCAACAAAGAAGACGACAGTAGATATTCTCTATATGTGCGTGTGCGGACGAGCACAAGTGCGCTAGGAACAGAATGGCAGCATTTAATTTTCACCTGTTATCATCGATTTTAAGCCCGTTCATATTTTAGTTTGTTTGAGCAAAACTTAAATCGAAATCTTGAATTAATTACGAGTTCGAAAATTTTGGGATGATTTATGATTCATTAGGGAGGCGATGTTCCACTGTGTTATGCTAATGAAATCGACTTAAAATGCAAAATAATTGTGAGCAATGCGATTGCAATGCCGCTGAATAATACGAACGCACATCGATTTATACAATCCCATCGTGATGGTGGCGGCGAAGAAACGAAGAAAAACCAGAACATTTCCAATCCGTTCTGGCAAAACGAAATGTAGCAGCGACAGCTTATACAAACACTTGCTGCAAAATAAACATTTCAAATGCATTCGCTTTTTTTTCTTCGAAAATTCATTCGCGCGCATTTATTGCAAACTTGTTCATGATATTTGTTCTCTATTTATGTTTAATTCAACGCTCGTTGTTGCATTTTCTCTCTCTCTCTCTCTCTCTCTCTCTCTCTTTATCTATCTTTATTCGCTTTCTCCCGCTAATGTTATCTGTGATGATGAAAATGTGTGCAATTTTTGTCTCTGGCCAAAAAGCTGATGGTGAGGGAAAATCGTGGTAAAATTTTTGGTAAATATATTAGTGAAAGTACTTTAGTGTAACTTCGACAGCTTGTTTTTTAGCCTGTGTATGTGTGTGAGAGAGTCTGTGTATAGCGTATATGAAGTGCTTTGCTAAATAGAGAAAACACTCAGCACGGATGCGTTCATATTTGCTGTAAGCGCATATTTATTGGAGATCCGTAAAGTGCATATAAAATGCTGTGCAGCGTATTAGTTGTTGCTTGTGCTAGCGCTGGTGGTGCAGCAGCAGCACTGCTTAAAGTTAGACTCATCACTTGAAATCAACATACGCATGGTGTTTGTACATAGCCACGAGACTTTCCATCCTCTGTGTGTTATCACATGCAAACTGATGCTGAACTTATGGCATCAAATCCATAGAACGGCAGTAATAGTTTCCGCATCCGCAATTTAAAACTTTTACATTTTTCGGTGAAGCGGATTCAGGTCCATTCCAGCAACAAACGTTTCACACATGCATTGTGAGCCCAGATTTGGCTCTTCTTTTTCTATCTCTCTCTTTGCAAATGTGCATTGGGACTAGCAGTGATGGTGGTAACATATCAGCAAATACAGAAGCAAAAAAAAAACACACACACACACACATCATTTGCAGAGCGAAAAAAAATAGTCCCCGAAAATGGGAATAGATCCATGCTCATGAGATAGTTACTAAGTTCACCGAATCATTCGGGCGAAAGAGTTAAGTCATAATTCCGCCATGTAAATGTATTTGTAAATTGTGTATTCAGCGAATTGATTCGGTCCCTGTCTCTGTTTCTATCTCGTTCCCGCTTTCGCAGCGGCTCCTCTCGACTTTTTGAGTTGTGTGCTTTCGCATGCTGTACGTGCAATGTGCAGAGTGTACACACACAAATGCGGATTAAGTGTTACCGTTGTGTGCTTTCTCTCTCTCTCTCTCTCCCTTTCTCTCTCTCTCTCTCTCTCTCTCTCTCTCTCTCTCTCTCTCTCTCTTCCACACACACTCTGTGTGTATTATTCAGAAAACTTGATGGGAAAGTTAACAAATCTAGTAAAGTAATTTGATTAATATCGAGCAAGATCACAAAAAAAGAACAACGAAGATGACGGCGACGAGAGGAAAACGCCTTGAGTAATGACATTTTACTAGCGGCAATACTTAAGCACGCATATAAATAACCGTAAGGCATTTTTATCTCTCTTTCTGTTTGAACGAAAAGTGAAACAACAAAAGTCAAAGTTGGAAGCGTTAACACCCCGGAAACGAAACATGCACACTGCGGAGATGGATTCTCTGTGTGCGCTCTGACTTTTGCTCTTTGCTGTTCGAATTTGTCATTCGAATCAATGCGTGTGCGGTTAGATGGATGTGGATGGACAGTCGACGGATGGGATCGTGAGAGGAGCGGTGCCAAATGGAATAATGGATTTGAATCTGGCCTATTCCGGTCATCATTTTTACTTACAAATATTACTAACTTAATCTTATTATTCCGCTCTCGCTCACCAGCCCAACACAACCTACCATACACTCACTCACGGCGGCTCAACTATGTGAACTGATCCGGTGTGGTGCAAGTGTTAAACGACAGATTATGTAATATGTAACAATTTTTAATGTGCTAAAGTTTCATGACGTAAATGCAAAACGTTCCGAAGTAAATACGAATTATGGGGTTCATTCAAATGACATGATGCAGCTGTGTGTGGCGTGTGTATGCAAACATACACATATACATTTCGTTATGCCGTTTGACTTTTTGCCCTACATTTTGAATTTGTCTTCCATTGTTCTGTCGCTTCTCGTGCGGGATGATGAAAATTGTTAACTATTTTGCTGACTGATTTATTTCCGACCAACAAATAGCAGTGGTTGCTCGTTTCCGCTTTTCAACAAATAAACCATTCGCGCCGAAGACATTTCACTGGCATTTCTCGTAATTTTTGCCGCTGATCTCTTCGATACCGAAGTTTGGCGCGTTAATTCGCGCTCGTGCTCATGCGCGCACGGATGAGAGGAAGAGAAAGAGATAAAAAAATTCTGACGATTTATTTATACCATTTCACACAGGTGACAGCATGCATTTTCCATACATAGTCTTATGGCAAGTCAAACAAAGCACGCCGTACAATCGCGTGTTGAAGTAGTGACGGAGAGAAAGAGAGAGACCATCAGAGAAAATCGGCGGCGATGAGAATGTGCAAACGCAAACAAGGCAGCGAGCGAGCGTGTGTCTGTCATTTCAGTAGAATTTCTTTTCTTCTTGTCTAATTTCATCATTTTCGACGTATGACGTTTCAAAATCACATTTAATTCATATTTATTGCAACATTTATGACGACCGTATTAATATAGCAGGTCGCATACATACACATACACACGCTCACGAAATGTTCATAGAACATTTTCGAAAACTTATTCCAGAAAAAACAAATGAAAAACAAATTGTTCATATCATGCAATGAAATTCGATGTCACTCATTCAGTGTGGCTGCCATCGTATTTTTTGACATATAAATATAACTTAATAAAGGGCAAGCGAATGAACAGGAGCAGTAGCAGCAGGGAAAAAAAGTTTGATGTGCCAACATGCAGCCAACGTTGGATTCGTATGCAAAGAGAGGCCAAAGTAACACAAAGAACAACAACAACAACCAAACCGTTCCGTTCAGATGTGTATTTGTACAATTCATCGCAATTTTTTTCCTCGCTCTCTCTTTTTCTTCCTATTATTTATATTCACACTGTATTCGACTGCAAAATATGGCTATCAGGGAACGAAAAAAATTACCCCAACATATAATGCGCTCTGGATTTTGCTGGTAACTTTCAAACAAATAATTGAATCGCGTTGACTGTCCATCATTCCATCCATCGTAGAAAGCAACAACCATTAAAAAATTGTATGCAATCGATCGGCAACGTAAACGAGCTCTCTTTCTCTCTCTCCCCCCTCTCATTCTCACAAACAAACACTTTGATAGCAACCTTTTGCATTGAACAAGCAATCTTTTATGCAGCACATGAACTGTATTATTATTATTATCGAAAGCCCTAACGCGCATTCAACTATGCTTTTATAAATGAAAAATTTATAAAAGAAAACATTTAGAATTGGAGCGCGATGTGGATGTGCGCCACAGAGGACGAAGAATGAATGTGAAAGAGAGAGGGGTGAGTGAGTGGGACGAAGAAAGAAAAAAACGAACAGCACATAAAATTCTGCTTCGATAAACATTTATTAAACACTCTCATAAAACTAAAATGGATTACAAAACATTGTTTTGAAACATATTTTGTTGGAAGTTCTAATTGATGAAATTGTTTATGCCACTGTGTACGGTACTGAACTTTATTTATTTGAATTCAAAATATTACAATCGCATTTAATTTCCTCCCACCAGTTTGGAATGCGAGTTGAATGCGGAATCTGCTAAAAACACACCATAAATCAAATCGGCACTTTTCATGGGCGGCAAAAATACTATACATAGTATATGTGAGAAATCTGGAAATGAGTTTGATTCACATGCTACGTGGAAACGATTTGCCCTCAAGTGCGAACTAGTATTGCGTAGGCGCTTGAAGCAATTGTATATCTAAGCGCCATTCATTGTTCTCAATAGGAAATTCGATTTGTTTGTGCGTGTATCTATGCAAGTGTCATTAGACAATTAGTTGTGACAGTGAGAGAAATGAACTTTTGATGTGACACATTCAAATTAAATCGTTTTCGATCGATTATTATTATCCAGATTGGAAATTCCTTCGGTTCCAAGAGATTCATCTTTAATTCTTATGATTAATCTAATGTGTAAATGATGAATATAAAACGGGAACTTACCTCTATGACGGTTTGTTTGTTTATCAAACATCAGCATCGCATCCTCGATCTAAAATAAAGATAGAAAAAAAGCCGGAAATTAACAAAGAATATTGCAAACGATGAGCATAAATTTTTCTCTTCGCTTGTTTCGTTCGTGGAAAAAAGAAAAACTCTTTTAATTATCACTGCTTAAAAGGAATATAACACGCACTATTCAAGCAGAATAATAGAAACGGGCGAGCGAGTAAGAAAGAGAGAGAGAGAGGGAGAGAGAGAGATAGAGAGAGAGAGAGAGAGAGAGAGAGAGAGAGAACGAAAAAGAGTGATAGCAGTTTGCTATTTCAATTTGAAAATTTAAACGAGAAAATATTTCAGCGTGCCTTTAATTTACATAAAATAAGTGAAGTGTGATGGCATTTTTTTATAGCTAAAAACGAGTGAAAGAAACCCTTCTCGTTTCTCCTTCCCCTCATGCTGTTCTTTATTCTTCTTCTACTTCAGTATTTCGCGCTTTGTTTTCGCTACTTTTTTTTTAATTATAGAGCAGACGTGTCGGAAAATCAGTACCGGGTTAAGAAATGTGTGTATTTTTCGCCTTGGAAAACGTGCTTACTTTTCTTTTAGAAAGCAATGACTTTGACATGATGTGAAAGTGGTACTCGTTATTATTTTAGAGAATGGACAATTGAGCCAGGGCAACACATATAACATATATTCACATACAAAGAGAGTGCGAGGTAGGGAAAAAACACATTGCATCTGCGTCTCTGGTTAATAAAAGTGTTAAAGGTGATGAAAAAAAAACAAAACAATCATATAAATTTGTGAAATAGAAGCGTGGGCGAAACATATTTCCAGGAATTGCATGTCGTGCGCGCAAGTGAGTGCTGCGAGAAAGCCTTGACTTATGTAATCATAAAAATGGAATCGAAAAATGTTGAGTGAAATTTATGTTGTTGTTTTTTTTTCGGTAGAATGTTGATGATGCATCGCGAATGGCCATCATTGTGCTTTTCATTTTCACAATATTACCACTAATCCGATGAGTATCATCTTCTTTCGTGTTTCACAATATTGTAAATTTTTTTTTCTGTTTCAGCTTCGTCGTTGTTGTTCATGTTCGCGTTTGCTGGATTGTGATTACCATAACTCTTATTTATAATGTTTGCATTATGAATACGAATGGAGCTGTGACATAGCGGACATCGCAGTGGATTTTTTTCCCCTCTCGGTTCTTGTTTGTTTTGTTCGTTCGCTTTTTTTTCTCCACCTCGCATTCCATTCCATTCCATTCCAATGGCATATCATGGTCTCGTGAAACAAACAAAAGTAGGAAGTTTTAGTGTGCAACCTTTTCTTTTTATATTGCTATTATAACCAACGTGCAATGTACACCATGAATTGTTTATATTCAATTTCCGCCAGTGGCGAATGAGTGAATGAAATATAGACAGCATGAGAGAGGCGGAGAGGTGGAGAAAAAGAGAGAGGGAGAAATGGTAGGCGAATGCACGAGAAGACAACCGAGGAAGAAAAAATAGACGCGCACTGGTGACACAAAAGCATACGGGCCGAAAAGAAACGTGTATTGTCGAAAACAATCCCGAAAATTGAAGCGATGCTTGTGAACGACGTGATGACAAAATCAACGACAACTGCAGATGAATGGACTCGCAGTAATCCAACTAGGAAACTTGAAACATTTATGTAATTTGGCTGCGTTTTTTCTTCTCTTCTGCACTCGTCGGTTTTGTGTCGTCGTCGTCGTCGTCGTCATTGTTGTTGTTAGTTATTGCTGTTGGATCAGCCGCTATGTGTGTGTGCTATTTACTTTTTCATTTCCATTTTCATGAGACAAAAATAATTTCTCTTGATTAAGTGAATAACAAGCAATCCGAACGGCGCTACAACGTCGCGGTACCTCATTGAAAACTTTCCCCCCTCGACTTTATAAAACCTTGACTGTTTTTCTCTCTTTTATTTATGCGCGCTCCAGCACTCTCTTTCTCTCTCTCTCTCTCTCTCTCTCTCTGTGTTTGTTGCGGATTGAAATGTGCACAAATGACGACCATGTTGCGCAATATGCAATTAAATAAAAACGACCGAAATATCTTCTTGCAGCTCGGAAAATATTAAATGTGTCATTACATTTTTTCTCCTTCTCTCTCTCTCTCTCTCTCTCTCTCTCTCTCTCTCTCTCTCTCTTTCGACAGTGCAATTCCATTCTCGATGCCATACACACCATGAAACATATGCGATACTTTTTCTCGGTTGGACTCGATCTTGCTTGATCCCAAACGAATGCCAACAACTACAACAACAACAACAACAACGGCAGCAGCAGTAACAAAAATTCATTCGTCGTTTTTGTTCTACAAATTTTAGATTGAAATTGAAATATATGCGGAAACATAGTCGAATAAATTTACAGCGATAGTAAACTCAAGTAAAATGTCAACGATGAATTTGTGCGCATAACAATGCATATGTGACAAATTTGAAAACCAACCTGTTCCACCGAAAATATATGCTCAAAACAAAATAGCAATGCACCAAAAATTAACATAAAAAGCTTTTAAGAGCCATTATTCTTAAATTTAAATAAATACGTGATGACATCTACGCAAACAGAATGGGAGAGAGAGAGATAAGGAGGAAGATTGAATGAGAATGTGAGAGTGAAACCGAGATGAAGTATCCATCAAATAAAACGTTCATTGGCTCATACCAAAGCCGTACACATAGAGCGAGAGAGATTGTGTGCGAGCGAGATAGAGAATGAGAGTGAATAAACAGATGCACCACCATAAAAGTGACGTCTTCAAGGTTTTATGCAAAATTAATAGGCTTCAGATGTACGATTCACAAGGCAGTCCAGCCATTGTCATACCGGGTTGTTGAAGGTCTAATCTTAAAATCTGGTTTTCGTGCGGTTCACAGAACACTTTGTGGCTACTTTTTATAAAAAAAAAAAAAATCTAATCATCAAGCAAGCGATACAATACGGTATACTATAATATTTATTGTCATATAGCACAACAACCAGAGCAATTGGATAACGGGACATTTTCATGAAATCCAAGTGATTTTATTGCTCTACCAAAAAATCATAAAAGCCATCGTTAATACCGAAATTACGGAATGAGGATGGCATTAGACACAGCTGTGTGCATCGTGAGAAATAACATTCTCTGCTCAATCTCACTAACGCTCAATCTATCGCAAACATAAACCTCGCACACATACACAGCAACAGCAACGGCAAGAGCAAAGGGCATATCAAGCAAATAACTCAAAAGCTTGACACATATCAAACACAATGGATTCAATATCGAATCCGAATAGAATACAATCATTGTATAACAGAAGTGTAATTTCGTTGCTGAATGTGATGCAATGTTTTTAGTTTAATGGAAAAACCAAAAAGTCGACATCAACTTTATTTCGGAGTTGTCGTTTTTCACTCGTATCGCACAAGGACAATATATATTACTGTATGTATCGTGACGCGTTACACGTGTAACGTGAATGGGAATCATATCAAATCATTTCGAACAAACCATAAATATAAAATGGGAAACTGGAGAGTGGGAGGGAAAAAGCACACGAAAAAGAAAAGAACGAACGAGGGAACGAGTGGAATGAGCTACCAAATTCTTAGAGCGCTTAAACCTGCTGATTCCGGCCACTATTGGTTTTCTGGGAAATTTCACTCAAGGTAGAGAGATTTATGTGCTGTCCAACGATCCATTTTGAAAAAATGTTCGACTGTGATTCTTTTTCACCATGAAAAAAATGCCCCCAAAATTGGATTATACTTAAACGACAGACTTTTGTCCAATATTTCAGCGATTTCGAGTCGATTTAGCTTGTTTTTGTAAAATTGAGCCCAAAATTTTCGCCATTTCAATAAATGAAGCGATAAAGAATTAAAAGAAAGTTTTTTTTACATGCTTTTTCAAGTGTTAAAATCGCAAATCAAAACTTTTCACGGATATTTTTTTTATCTATTCTTTTTATCGTCAAATTGAATTGATACTTTTCCCATACTCTGCTCTTAGCTCATATTATAACATTTGTCTATCACATTTCTTCCTTGGTAGATACACAAGCAAAAAGAAGCGGCGAAGAAGAGGAGAGATCAGTTTGATTTGGACATCGTACGAAATCGCCAGCATGACAAATCGCATCGAATGAATGAAATCAAACAAAAGATGAACCGAATTACTCTTGACCCATGTTTTCAAAACATGAAATCTTAACAATATTTCTACTTGTCTGAATAGTTAGTCGCGTTTCCATAGCGTGACGAAGAGAACTTCTCTGTGCAACGCAGATATGTACGCTGCATATATCGATAGAGTCAAAGAGCTGTGAGTGTACATTCGTATATCGAAATCAAATGTTATGTTTGCGATTATGAGCTACAGTTGTCGAACTGTGTATGTGTATAGATGTGATTGTTCTTGGCGATAGAAGTGGACAAGAGAGTGGAGATAGACTGAAAAAAAAAACACACACACACCGAGTATAAGACTCAAGAGTGCTATTCAAAAGGTCGTTTCGCCTCTGGCGGCTACTTCCATATAGATTCGCAGCAAACAAGCAAACGAAATTGTGTATGTGTAAAAAGTGCTTGGTTTTAGATTCACCATCAACGAGCTATGCACTGAACAAGCATCGAACGTGCAAAGGTTTGGTCCATGTGTGTCGCTCTCATTCTCGCTCTCTCCCACTGTGTACGATGGCAAGTGAAAAAAAAAGAGAGAGAGCGAGAGAGAGAGAGATAGATCTCTAGTACGAGAGTAGTCAATCGCCATCACCATCTTCAAAGTATACAAAGCGATACCCATATATCATCCATATCAAATGGATTGTAGCTCATTTCCTATCCTCGTCACCCTCTGATCTCTCTCGTTCGCTTTCTCCTGTTTTCGCTCTTCAGTTCAGTTTGGTTTCCATACAAACATTTGCTTGAAATTGTTATCAAATTCAATTGTTTTCATGTTTGGCATTTTGAGGTATGGCTTGATGCTCTCTGCGTGCGTCTTTCTTGTAAATGTTTGA